TAATAGTTGTCAATGTAATAAGTCTAAAAAAAATGAAAAATCTATCTTCTACGGCGTGGTTGTAGAATGTCTGATCCTTAAACATATTTTGATAGCGCTGGGAGCGGTCGCTCTCATAGTTGACACCCCTCTTCAGCCTCATCTTCAAGCTCTTCACTAATTGACAGAAAATTTGGCGTATCATCTTGCATGTGAAGCGGCGATCCCTTGTAATGTGGTCTCAAATGAAATTACAAATTAAAGTGTCCATTCTCTATAGTAGTCCAATAAGGATAAGAAGTCGGATCCTCATGTGATGTTGAAAGTCATGCAAATGTTGAGGGCCTTGCATACGTTAAGGGACCCGTATATGTTGAGGGATCTGCATATGTAGAGGAGGGACCAGTACCAATACAAGCAAAAGATCTTCTTGGAGCATCTGCAGCCGAATCTCTAGAAAAATTTGCTGGTGACTGTCGTAGGATATCCGAAGTTGATCTTCGAGAGTGTGTTTTGTTGGTTGGTTGAATCCGTTTGTGTTCGGCTCATTTATACCTTGAGCTCAAAAAGTGTGTTTGTGTTCGGCTCGTTTGCTTAGTGAGCCGAACACGAGCTGTTCACGAACAAAGAGTCGTTTTGACAACTCTAATCATGTAGCCGTAACATGTTAAGAGTTGAGGCAAGATTTAAAAATTATTCTTTATAATAAAACATCATTTGAATCTAATTTAATAATTTTTATTCTAAGTTCTTAATTAATACTTTCAACTGATTATACTTCTTTGTAGTCTTGTAATTATATGTATATGTATATATAACTGATGAGTACTATTTCGAGCCAAAATGAGCCAAACACGAACGAGCAAATCTTTGTTCGTGTTCCACTCATTAACTTAACGAACCAGCCGAGCACGAGCTGTTCGCGAACAACGAGCCGTTTTGACAACCCTAGTCTCGTCAGCATATTGAATTTTAAAATTCTTTAAAATTAAAAAAAAAAAATCATATTATATTATAAGCTGAGAAATTATATAGTTTATATAAATAAAAAATAGTTTCTAAGATTTTTCTCCTTTTTAAAGGGCTCTTGGACCTGGTTCCCTTCACTAATAAATTATTATTAAGAGCCTCTTAGAAACTTAGCCTTCATATTTTGCTGTCAATGCGTTGTTAAGTGATTAATTCTTTTGTTGAAAATTAATTTTATTGAATTTATAAACAAACTTGTAAAGAAAATACAAAAAGATAAAAAAAAAATAATATAAGTATTAGGAGAATAGACAGAATTAATTAAAAATAATAATATCTAAGAAATGATTAATATTTAAGAAAATGTTGATTTTTTAAAACTCTCATACTTTTATATATTTTTTTAATAAATATCTTATCATGTACCTTTTTTATGACCAATTATAAACAAACATTGAGACTAATTTTAAATCATCAAATTTTTATTTTTATTTATTTATTTATTTAATATTGGCTGGGTGAGGGATGGGTGTGTTGAGAAATTAGGGCGAAGAAAAACAGAAATCGACACAAATCCAGAAGAACACATAGAGATTTAACGAGGTTTGACAAAGATGCCTACGTCATCGGGAGCAGAGCGGAGACTTTTCTTTCAATCTCAGAAAAGAGTACATAATACAGAATATGAGATAATATCTAGAGTTACAAACAGACATATTTATAACCCTAGAAAACAAAAACCCTGGAGTACAATATGTAATTACCAAATTACCTCTATACCGTATCGCGGGGTGTTGCCCCCGCACCCCCAACCCACATAAGGAAACTCCCCCGATTTTGGCAGATTCTTCCGCTCTGCTTCATTCCAGCATCTGTCCCTTATATGATATATGAGCCATACCATAACAGGGTGGAAAAATGACAAAATTGCCTATGTAAAAAAATATTAAATTTTACTACTTGTATAGCTAAATATCAAATTCTAGACAACAAGTGTCCACCCTAAATATAACTTGTTCTGCCCCTACAAAAGATTAATGCGATTAAAGATATTTACCATATTACAAATTCAAACCAGTGTTTTATTTATATTCTTTTGATGCACATAAGAATTGACAGTATATTTTAAAAATTCAGTGAGTGCGAATGATAAAGTAGCCCACCATTAGGGCTGTCAAAGTCGATCGAGTCTGTGCTCGACTTATTAAATGGTTCGTTCGCTAAGTAAATGAGTTAAATACAAACAATTTTTTTGCACTCGATATAAAAACGAGCCGAGCACGAGTGTTCTGCTCCTTTTGGCTCGAAATTATATATATATA